GTCAGGCAGAAGGTGGTGGGCATATTAACGATTAATGACTCAAGAAAAACTCAAGTACGCACTCGAGTCCAGGAAAGTACTTTCAGAGGGAGTCACTGGAAAACATAGAGGAAAATGGATAAATAAATGCAATATTTGGGGGGGAGGATCACATTTTTAACTGTTTTAAATAATTTTATAACCGTCAGAAGTGCTGCTTTCAGAGCTGTGTAAGGAGGCCTATTGTACATACGAGTATGTGTGCATCCTTTAAAGTGATCTTTGGAGCTGGATTTTTCTATCCAATTAATCTGTGGGTCACAGAACATTTAATCTAATGTTATGTGCCTGCTACACCCAGGGACTTGAGCTGCGCCCTTTCTGAAAATGCTTGTGTGTCCCAATCGTAAGGACATCCAATCCCAGCAAGTTTGGGGTCCTGGAGGAGCCCATGTGCCTGGGCGCACAGGGCATGTGCTCTAGGGACAGATGTGACCTGATGTGACCTGCGGGATGTGACCGGCTCCATGTACTCTGTTCACAGCTGATGACCCACAGTGTTATTTCTACCATTTTACCCCCCAGACTGTAAATTTGAGCCAATTCCTACATGGCGTCTGATCTAGGCTCATAATTGTACTTTGCTCTGGGTCCCTCACTTCATGCTTTTTTTTTCTGCCTGTTTTCACTGCAGATTCAGTAGCAGCCTAATTTTTTATCCTATTTTCATCTTATTCTTTCTTTTGCTTAATAACTTGAGCTTAACTTAGAGGTAATGAAGACCTTAACCCTGAAGGTGATGAAGCTTAAACTGTAAGACTACATAAGAAAGGCTTTAAAAATTATAAATATAATAGAGAGACATAGGCAGCTAATTAATAGTAGTATAATATTTTTCTGGATTTTGTGATGAAAATTATCCAGATTTTACAAATTTGTGATTTGTTGTGCTTTCTTCTTTTTCTAAACATTCACGTTTCTACTGACTTTTTAATTTATGAATTTGTGTTCTATTAATTTTATGTGTCAGACCTAACAAAGCCTGGAATAGTCCCTGTCCTAACTCAATTAGCCCATAATTCAAAATAAATGAAAATCACTATAGTGAAGATTTGACTTAGTATAGTGACTAAGATGGGAACCTGGGCTCCGGTGTGTGACGATGTGGTCTCATAAGTTATTATCTGTGTAATCTTGGGCATTGCTTAACATATCTAAACCTAACTTTCTAATTTTAAAAGGAGGAGATTGTAATAGAAAATGTTATTCCTTGTAGTTCCTTGTAGTTGTTTGAGAACAAAGGAAATAAAATATAATGGAAAATCAACAAATTAATAGAATGTCCATGTTGCAAGGAACCTTCAATTTCTTGTAATTTTACATCAGCCCTATGGATTCCTCATGGCTCCTTCGGCTGTATGTGTGAAGCTGACCTATCCCCTCATTCCTTAAACTAGGAAGGTTCTGCTTTTATTGACTTTATTTTGGTTCACTCAATGTAAGGTTTGGCTTGAACAAAGTGCTCTTTGACTGTTTGTGTAAGAGTGTATTTGAACACCACTGCTCTTGTCCAATTCTTATCTAAAAAAATCACATGATGATGTTAGTGAAAATATTAAAAAATTGAAAACAAATGGTGATCTATTGTCTGTTTGACCTGAATCTTATATGTAGGAAGGTAAGACATGATTTAAAAGAAAACACAATGAAACTGACAACAAATTTTGCCTGTAGATCAAAGATTAAGCATCCAGTGGAAATATCAATAAGAAACAAGTGGGAGAAAGAGAAACTTACCTTAAATTTCTGAGATATTAGAGGATTATTAAGTTTTTCTCAGTACACGAGCCTCATGCAGATTTCTATTTGGTTGGTTGTTTTTAACCAATATTAAAAGAAAGCATGAACTCAAATAGCAGGAGGATGTTGATAGGGAGCTAACACTTGAATTTTATATATACCTCCCCAAGGATATCTTTTATTGTCTTAATATTTTAATTGTACTTTATAATTAGAAAAAATGACCTCTTTATAACTGCTACTCAAATTCTTAGACAAAGTAATCTTAATCCCTCTTTAATTTGAGAGCTCTTCAAATATATGAATCAGCTCTATCCCCAGATATGTTGACTTTCAATTAAAAATTGATTGTTTTATGATAGGACCTAGAGATATTTTCTTTGATGTTTATAAATCATTGAAGAATAAAACATAATCATTATCTCTAAAGTTTACTTTCAATTTCAGAGACCTTAAGGGGCCTTTTGGCAATTCTTTCTGAATGAAGTCTTTCTTGCAATCAGAATTACTCTCCTTTTTTTTTCTGTTGACCACAGATGAGAAGGAAGCTATCTTTTTGTTAATCTAATTTCTTTTACTGCAGCTTCTGTATATTGAGAGTAGGCCAGAAAGAAGCATTAAGGAAGGCGTTAGTATGCTGTATATAGCGGAAGCCCCTGCCGAATAACAACGGTAGGGATTGAGAGAGAATTGAGTTTAAAGAGAGGAAGTGAATGTCTCCATTTGCTATCCTGAGGGTGGTAAACACAGGAATGTGTGCAGAATCGACTGAAAAGTTGTGGTGGATTTCAGGACAGGAACATGCTGATCATTCGTCAGGGTGCAGCCTGGGGAGTCCTTAAGACCAGTACCCAATGGGACAGCACAAACAAGGTGGACGTGGTGGTGATGAGAAGTTAGATGGAGTGAGTTACCAGCCCGTCTGCTTTGTAATGGTCCAAACTTGGTATTCCAAATGTTTGGAAGTTCTTGAGTGCCCACGTAGGAAAGGCAGAAGGAAGCTGAAAATAAGAATTTCTCAGGAATAGGATTTCTGGAGCAAGGAGGTTAAATTTGGAAATAATGTTTTGCATGTTTAGTCAGAATATGTAAATTACTAGGCCATTCCATTGTCAAAATGATAAAGAGCTGTGATTTTTAAGTGACTTCCAGGCTTTAGACATTATTTCTTCTAATCTCTTCTGTTAGTAGTGCTTTTACCTATTATTTTCGATTGTCCCACCACCAATGATCACATGCACTTCCCTTGTCCCTTTTCATTAGGCGCTTGACATATGCGGGTGTTGATGTAGGATTTGAGAGTCTCTGTGGAGTGCCGACCTTCCAGAATGGCAGAGTGAGGGTCTCTGTATATCTGCTCCTTCATAAAAGCAATAAAATACTGGCAAAAATTTTCAAAGTAAGTTTTCTTTTTTGCAGAACTGAAAACTAATCAAATGCTTGCAACAATATGAGGAGTGATTTATTCAAGAAAAATGGTGTAACTTTGGGAGAAGACCACTGTTTGTGGCTTTTTGTCTTGACCTATTTTAATTCTCCTTTCTTTAGTTCTGTGATGGTCTTGAAGCCAGCAGCCTTGCAGTCCCTGGAGGCGTGGCTTGTCTGGCAGCTCCCGGCACAAGCCCCATTTACAGGGCATTGTTGTTGGTTGACCCTGGGGAGGAGGGGAAACTTATTTCCAGAGTTGCCACATTATGTTATCTAAAATATTTAGTTTTCAATAAAGATTATGAGTCAGGCAAAGAAATAGTGTGCCCCGTATGTAGGGGGAAAGAAGTAGTCAATAGTAACAATGTCCGGAGGGATTCAAATGTTGCTTCTTAGTAGATAAAGATTTTTACTTCAACAATTATGAATAGGTTCAAAGAAATAATGGAAACTGTGTCTAAAGAATTAATGGAGGGCCGGCTGAGTGGCACATTGGTTAAGAGTTGGCTTGGGACGCCAGCTCTGAGCAGGAGGGCCCCAGATCAGATCCCACACAGGTCAGTGATGCTGCGCCCTCTACAGCTAAGATGGTGAACAACAGCTCGACCTGGAGCTGGGCTGCCTTGAGTCGCCGTAGACGGTGTAGGCTGCAGTGGGGCTGGCCCTTTTGTGAGCTTCGTGAGCTGCCGTGAGCGGCCGTCCAGTGGCCAGTGAGCAACTGCCTCACCCGGGAAGAGCGCAATGATAATACCAACGTGGGCCAGTCAAGCGATGTCCTCCACAACTAGACTGAAGAACAAAAGGACAGCAACTTGTCTGTTCCCCTTCCCTCAATTCTCCAATGCTGTTCCCCTCCCCCAACTCCCCAATAAAATTAAAAAAAAGAATTAATGGAAAACTTGACACCACATAACCAGCCTATCAGCAAAAGTTGAGGGATATACTAATTAATTCAGGCACTTTAAGGAAATCTGTGAACAATCATTAGAGGGTCACTAAGTTAAATAAGCAGAGACAGGTAGTTGCACACTATATGGAATACAGGCTATAAAATTAAAGGAAAATATGACAGTGGCATCCGACCACATAGATAACATCAATAGAGACAAACTGAAAAAACAAACAAACAAAAAACCAAATACAGATTTTGGAGTTAAAAACTACAATAACTAAAATAAAATTTTCATTAGAGGGGATCAACAACAGATTTAAATTGGCAGAAGGAAGGTTCATCAAACTTGAAGATACATGAATTAAGCCTATTCAGTCAAAGGAACAGAAAGGAAAAGACTAAAACTTATAATAGAGCCTTAGAGATCTGTGGAACATCATCAAGTGTATCAGCATAAACATTTTGGGGTCCTAGAAGGGAAGAACAGAGAAAAAGGGTAGAGAATATTTGAAGAAAGAATGGTCCAAAACTTCCCAATTTCATGAAAGGCATCATCTACTCAACCAAGAAGCTCAGTGAACCCCGAGTAGGATAATAACAAAAGGTATAACTTTACAATTGATGCACTGAGTTTTCTATAAAAAGGAGGTACAGGTAATCACCTGAAGTGTAACGTTTTTGGGGGTGCATCTTAATGTTGGAAGGAGAACAAATTATAATTCTAAAGCTGATTACGAAGACAAAACATCACAGGTGTCTGTAAGCACCCTTAAATGAGAAGAAAATACAAATTTGGAAGCTCAAAAATCAAGAATTTCTTTTTTTTTTCCTTTTTGTTTGTTTCTTTGTATTTATGCTGTGGTCTCTCAATTTGCAATCTTTTTTCTTTTTTTTTTTTAAGGCCCATTTACAGGACACTGCGTGAACACAACACTGTATGGAAGATGCTGAAAACAGTTCCAGATTTAACTTCTCAGCTAAATGATGAGCATCTGAGAATACTTAGTAAGAATGTCATTTCCGAAACCTGGGTAAAAGGCAGCACAGGTAACAGACTAGCCTGGGGGGACATCTGCAAGACAAAATGCATGTCACCATTTTGAGTTCCCTGTTGTTATAATACTCATAATTTCACTTGACATGATAAAAATGCACTGCTTAGATGTATCTCATTTGTAAGTTCATACATAGTAAGATGAATATGATTTCACATTTTAGCACTTATGTTTTAAAGATATATACTAGTGTTTCTCCACCTCGAGCACACATCAGAATCACCCAGAAGACTCCTTGAAACACTGCTGTGTTCAATCCCTAAAGTTTCGGTTCGGTAGGTTTCAGATGGGGCTTAATTTGCATTTCCAATAATATTCCAGATGATGGGCCTAGTCTGGGGACCACACTTTGAAAATCATTCATTGATATACACATTGAGTAATAATCTAGCATTGATTTTCATAGCTAAGACAGAAAGCAGTCAAAGTGATTATTTGACTGATCCACACTGATCTGATATTGGGAAAAGACCCCTCCAGACAGATTTCAGATTCCCAATTGTAACTTCTTGTTTCTTTACCAATGATATATTGGATACAGTAATTTAATAGAGGCATTTTATGTTTTAATTTTGGGGGCATCCAAATAAATACACACAGAGGCACACACACACAGCTAAACCAATAGAATTCAACATTGTTTTCATTTATCGAGTACCTATTAGAAAAGAGGAACTAAATTCATTTAATACATTCTTTGTGTCAGAGATATTCCTTATTTATTCCTCACAGTAACAAATAAAAGTAGGTATGATTCTCTCCAGATGAGGACCTTAAGGCACAAAATATTTTGCAGGGTATTTCTGATTAGAATGGAATTTCAAACATACTTTATGCCATTGGTTTTCTGAAGCGATCATGACATGTAAAATCTGACTGGAATTTTGGAAAACATGTGTCTGTTGAAAAGCTTTACATATTTCGAGAGTTTTCCCCTTATGGTCCCCTCTTATAATTAGTTTCATTTAATCTGACATCAAGCCGGGAAAATTAAATCAGGAGTTTTGCAGAGAAAAAGTGATTTTGAAAGGGAGGAAAGAACAACATTCATCATTGCTTTGCCGTTAGCTTGAGGATAGTAATTAAAAAATTGTTTTATCATAAATCCCTGTAATTATATTTGTTATGGTAGAAACGATGCCCTGAATGCCCTTCAATAGGTGATAGACTGCACACATGGTGATACATCTAGTCTGTGGCATTCTAGGCAGTGGTTGATAAGAATGAGGTACCTCTATGCATACTGACGTGGAAACTTGTTAAAGGCAGCTAAATAAAAACGGAATGACTGTAGAGTTATATGAATGATCATATTTTCATAAACACTGAAATTAAATATATACATATATAATTATAAATTATTATATATGTTATATATTGTTATATATTATAAATTATATATACATTATATATATTATGTATTATAACATATCATAAATTGTATATATACATATATGAAATACATAGTAAAAGATACATAGGAATAGAGCCAGAAGGACAGTCCAAAAATACGTATTTTTAATATTGTTACCTTAGTGGAGGTGAGAGGAATTGAGAGGCAGTGAATGGGAACAATGGGTTCTTTCTTCTTCATATATTTGTGTTGAATTTTCCTTAATGAATATATAGTCACATGTCAATGTTTGTAACTACACATTTATTTTATTCACAAAGGATTTAAAATTATAATTAGAAGCAAATGTCATATTCTGATGGCATCTTAATAACTTAGGTGATTAACTATTAGAATATGAACTTTCATTCCTTGACAAGTATCAACTTGAATTGATCATATATATTAAATAAGGCACCCCAGCTCACATTTCAATGGCGCATCCTTTCAAACACTTTAAAACCATTTAGAAGTCTCTGTGTTTACATCTACCTGTGTCAAAATTCTTCTCTTGAGTTATTAAGACATAATTCTGACAGCTCAGATCTGTTTCACCATCATGGCTGTCAACTCATTAAATATCTGATCTTTGTAAATCTTTTTGTTCATCCAACTTAAAAAACAATCCCAACAAGTTATTTTTTGATTCCTTTATTCATGGATGATTCCCCTCTGTCTGCTGGTACATCAGGTGTCCCCCCTATAGCCCCTCATCACCAGGCTGCTGACTTGCAGCCTGCTTTGGTGTCTTGCCTACAATGCCAACAGCTGTTTTCACCTTCAGTCTCGCTTCCTGCCACAGGTTCTCTGAGGCTTCGTGATATAAGACAGCTTCCTCACCTTACCATTACTCACTCAGCCTTTCATTCAGGTTTCTTAAATAATAACATATTAACAGAGATAACATTATTAGGACTTGATGTACTGAATAACACATGTCCGCATCTCTAGCTTAGGTGAATATGGTACTAAATCATGATTACTATATTAAGATTGCATATGTTCCTATAATAAAAATACTATATATTCCATATAGTAATCTCTTTCTATATGCTATGTAGGTATATAGTTTATTTAATTCAAATGACATCAAGAGTATTCCATTGGATCTCTTATTTTATGGCCTGGGCAGGGGGCATTTTTATGATTGGAACCTAAAATTCATAGAAGCTGAAATAATTAGCTTGCTTGAGAACTCAATTTAGTGGCTAACCTAGAATTACATTCTCGATGAAAATTTTATTACTTTTTTACCTTTATATTAACATTGCAATAGTCCCGTGAAATGATTGATATAAGGGTTTTTTCTTTATTATCTATATCTTTACTCTGTTTTCTTTACTTGAAGTCCAGTAAGTTTTACAGTGTTATTTCTCTTCTGTTTCTTTCATCTTATTTAATTTTACTCCCAACTTTTTTCAGGTTATACCTCAAAAATACCATACCTCCTCACTTTAATAAAATTTAATATTTATTTTTAGTGCTGAAAATATTTTTATATTATTACGTTTTTACCATTTTCTTAATCTGCATAGACTTTTTTTCTATTGTGATTTAAATTCCATTGAAGGTTATAAAAACATAGTAGCTAAATCTCATGAAAAAATGTAGTGAGCATCTCTTCCACTTATAAGTTAATTATAATTCAAACAATGTGTCCTTACAATAGAAGTAATCAAATAACTTAGTCCGACCATAAAGACCTTGGCCTTGAAGGCAAACGTGGCCGTGAAGAATGTGCATCGATCCTAACGCTGGATCTGCTTTCACTGCAACTAAGGTGTTTCCTGTGACTTATGAAGATCGTCCTTGGAAGCTGGCCAGAATCTTTTTCAGCCTTTTTGCATTGTGAGAACCCAATTCCGTTTCTACCTCTTCTACCCAGGAGACGATGTGAGGTTTTGAAGAAAGAATACAATGACAACAGCTCTTTAATATCAGGAAAATGCCAGAGACCCTTGCCATGATGTTTCTCTCTGTCATTGTCGTTTTGAAGATTAATTTCTAAACAGTGAAATGTATAAGCAGGGGAGATATTTGAAATATTTACTATGCGATCAGACAGGGTTTTCCAATCACAATGCCTGCTCTGAACAGTCGCCACAGGTGTATTGGTAGCATCACTGGAGATAGAACCCCCACACACACAGTTTCCCCCATTTCTGATACTGGAATAGTTTCAATTAATAAAGGCTGCTTTATATAATTGTATTACACAGTATCTAAAATTTCATAGATTTTAAAAAAAGCCTACTTGATTTTATCGGAAAAATGATCAGAATAGAACTGATATTTGTTCACCCCTCTAGGCTAATTCTTGGATTGCCATACTTCAGAAGAGTTGGCAGCTCTGTCCAATCACGAGAAGTTGTTTTTAAATAAAGCTTTTTATGTACTTTTGTCATTTGTGCAAAAATGCAAGGTGACATTGGGCTAAATGCTTAGCAAAGAACATTGCGTTGAACTGGTTCTTATTTCCCACAATAACATGAACATAATTCATTTATTTAGCAGCTGTGTGCTAAGTGTTTGCTATGTGCTGGCGGCTGTCACTGGAACTTATTTTCTAGTGTGGGCTACAGGAAACAAATAGCAAATGAAAACATAATATAATTTCAGGAAATAAGTTTTATGAAAAAAATAAACAGAGAACAGGAATTAGAGGGGCTGGAAATTGGAAGAGGGATTATTGAAATGATTACAGTAATATTAATTATATATCTTATATAATGTTTATTGATCTAGTGCTTTTCTAAATAATTTTAAGTACTACTTTGCTTAATCTTTTCAAAACTCTATGAAGCATATTGTTATTACTTCATTTTGTGTAAGAGGAACTTAAGGAACAGAATAATAAGCTAGACAAGGTAATATGGGAAGAATATTCAGATAATACATCTATATAAATGCTATGTAAATATGCAAGACAAGAATTGAAAAATGCCAATTTAATATTTAAAAGGCAATAAGGCTTTTGAAAATAATATTGTCTTCAGTGTTTTGGACAACATTTCCTAAAGTGTTCATGGAGTTCAGCTACAGCTAATACATGTTAAAACAAACAGCTGCAGAAATAAACAAACCAGAGAAGCACTTTGGGAATGGTAGGGTAAGGACTTCCAAAGATCAACAGATGGAATGAAAAGAGTGGCAAAAACTGTCAATATCAACTTTTTCAGAACTCTGGAAAAGAACCACAACAATCCAAAGAGTGTTTATTCAAGAAAAATGGTGGAGTCTTGGTAAGAATAAAGTGTTTTATGGCACTTTTGCTTGCCTTGTTCCCATGATACTATAACTCAGCCTTGCAACCATGGTAGCTGTGAAAACCAGCAGTTTAACAGCCCTTAGGGCAGCGGGATAGGTTTGGATTTCTTTCAAATTTTTAAGCCAAGAGATTTGTCATGATTTGACCTGTCTTCCAGGAGTAGCTCCATTCACAGAGCCTGTGTATTAAAAAACCAACAAAAAAGATCTCAAATCAATAGCCTAACATTCCATCTTAAGAAACTAAGAAAGAATTGCTGTCTAATCCCCAAACAAGCAGAAGGAATGTAATAATAAATATAGTGGACATAATGGAATAGCGAATATAAAAT